ACAACAGCAGCGAATGAGGATGATCTTCACATCTAATTGGTATTCTGAGTATTTTTCTTGATAGTCATGAGTATGTAGTGACAGCTTATTGTTTTATTTGCAGTTTCCAATTGACATTTGATGTTCAGTTTATTTTCATATTTCCTATTTCCCGTCTGTATATGCTTTTTGGTCAACTGTTGAGATCATTTGCCCATTGTTAATTGGATTATTTTGTCTTCTTACTATTGAGTTTTCATAGTTGTGGGGCTATTTTGAATACTAGTCATTTATCACATGTGTGGTGCTGTGCTTAGTTGCCCAGTCGTGTCTGACTCTTTGTGACCCCATGGACTGCAGCCCACCAGGCTCCTCTGTCCATGGAGATTCTCCAGGCAAGAATACTGGAATGGGTAGCCTATCCCTTCTCCAGGGAATCTTCCCAACCCAGGAATTGAACCAGGGTCTCCTGCATTGCAGGCATACTCTTTACCAGCTGAGCTACCATGAAGCCCCATTTATCACATCAGTGATTTGCAAATATTTTCTCCTCTCCTGTGACTTGGCTTATCATTCTCTTAACACTCTCTTTCTCAGAGGAGGTGTTTTCTATTAATGAAGTGAAATTATACTTATTTTCTTTTATAGGCCTTGTGTTTGTTGTTTGAAAATTAATCATCAAAATGTCAACATTCATTTTATTTGTTTGTGAATATCGATTAATTCTTGCACTATTTGTTAAAACAAGTTTATTTTCATTTGAATTGCCTTTCTTTTTCTTTGTCCAACTTCAGTGTGGCTCTCTATGAAGATACTGATTTTCTTCGAATATTAGGATAAGTCTTACCCCGTTGTTTTTGAAGTTTCAAATTTTTTATTTTCCAGTTTATTATTATTCTCGTTATCTTTATTTTGACTGCTCTGGGTCTTTGCTGCAGCTTGCTAACTTTTCTGTAGTTCAGGCACATCAGCGTCTCTTGTTATGGAGCAGGGGCTCTAAAGCAGGCAGGCTTGGTTGCCCCGGGATGTGCAGGACTTTGAATTCCTAGAGCAGAGTTCTTACCTGCATCCCTTGCATTGCAAGGCAGATTCTTAAGCACTAGGCTACCAGGGAAGACTCTGAATATGTCTCCTTAACCAAGAGTTATCTGTTGTTGGAGTATCTTAAATGTTTCACAGACATAGGTATGTGCCACAGAATGACTATTTGAATTTACCTACAGAATTCAGGAACATGTTCTTTCTTAGGAAGTAGAAGTTGCCTCTATTTCTTGTTTGTGATGATAAATGGATGCCTGATTTTACTAAGTCCTTTAAATTTTCATTTCCCCTGTGTGTCTTCCTTATATTAGTTCTTTCTTTCTTCCCTTGTAGTCATAATGACTACATGTTTATCGTTGAATCAGTGCAAACTCTAGGAGATAGTGAAGGACAGAGGCACCAGGCATGCTCTAGTCCACAGGGCCACAAAGAGTCAGAAAAGACTGAGCAACTGAACAACAAGAATGCTGCTTTTAGTCAGTCCACCTGTGTAATTTATATTCTTTCCAATGAATTTTTTCTTAAAGATTTATTTATTTTATGCCTGTCCTGGCTCTTCCTTGCTGCACTCAGGCTTTCTCTAGCTGCAGTAAGAGAGAGCCAGTCTCTAGTTTTGGTGAGCAGGTGTCTCACTGGGATGCCTTTTCTTGTGGAGCATCGATTCTATGGGCTAGTGCTTCAGTAGTTGCAGTATGCTGGCTCAGTAGTTCTGGCCCTAGAGCTCTAGAGATCAGAGTCAGTACATGTGGCCCATTGGCTTAGTTGCCACTTTGCATGTGGAATGTTCCTAAAGCAGGGATCAAACTCATGTCCACTGCTTTGGCAGGTGGATTGTCAACTGCTGACCACCCCATTTCTAATGAATTTTCAAAGGTATCTTTCAAACTTGTTATATTAACGACTAATTCCCTCAATTTTTTTCTGAAAATGGCTTTGTATTCTTAATTTTTCCTAATTGTGCTTGCTAACAAAATTCTAGGAAGTTTTTTTTTTTAATATGAAATCATTAAATGTTTCAGTCAATGTGATTCTTGTTTTAGTTTATGTTTGTACTGAAAAGAAGTCGAATCTGATTCTAGTCTTTTCCTGTACATAAAAGTTTACCTCTGGCTTTTTGTAATTTATTCTCTTTGCCTTTGTTTTTTTCTTCTTTTGACTATAACATGCATTGGTCTCCATTTTAGGAGTTTTGATTTTTTGTTTACTGAGCTCCTTGGACAGGTGTTGTCTGTCATTAATGTTAGGAAAACCTCAGTGCTTATGATTTCTGTCTCTCCTTCCATTTAGTTATTTTCACTAGCTGTACCTGAAATATTCCATTAAAAAAATGTCATGTAATGTCAGGTTCATGAATGTTTTGTTCTGTGTTTTTTTATATTCTTAGTCTTTGCATTAGACTCTAGTGAAACAGGTGTTTTGGGCTTACAGGGCTTTAGAGCAAAATATTTGAGGAATATTTTAAAAATGTCTTTTCTTTTCCCAGTATTAGGACTCCAGCTTGACCTTTGAGTCACGCCCTGATGGTTGTGGGATAACTTCTTTATTTCAAGTTTTTCATTCTCTTTTTGTGAGATGGAGAGTCACAACATTTAAATTCACAAATCACAGACTAGATTTATGCCTCTCTGGGCTTATAGTGGTTGCTGGTGAAATACTTGTTCTTGAAGTTGCAGGATAGAAGCTTTATGTTCTTTGGGGGGAAGCCAGTGGTGATACCCTCACATATTTTATGATCACAGGAAAATTCATCCTCAAAGTATTATGGAAGTTGATGTAGCTGTAGCTCTTAACCTGTGCTTAAAGGCAGTAAGACCCAGGATATACTGTTAGTGTGTGATGACAAAGAGTCTTTCTGGTGTGTAATTGCACTGTGTGTTTAAAGTTTGGCTCAAAGTGCCCAGAGGCACTTGGGTAGAATAAATTTTGTGGTCTAACATATCATTAGTGATTCTTCATCTCTGAGGTCTAAGGTTGAAATCACTTGCTATCTGCATCAAGTTTTACATAGAGAGAAGAGAAAAGCAGATTCTGTGATTATTATCAACCAACTTAAAGGCAGTGTTTCTTCAGCAGAATATTTATATTCAGGCAGCTGCAGGTGATTTTTTTCAAAAGACCTAGAGGACATTGGGACAGTGTAGACAGCTGGGCATTGGTCAAATTTGAATTATACTGGTCACCTGGCCTCTGATGTTAGGTTGTAAGTTTTTTTGTAAGTTAGGTTTGTAAGGCTTTTCAGTTTTTTTGCTGGGTTTTTATTCATTGAAACCCTATGTATTGTTGATCATCTGCCCCATGGGGTAGTATAAAATGTATACCATAAGGAAGAAGATGAAAGAATTTTTCCACAGGAAATCAGTGTTCCTGAAATTGTATTTGTTTCATTTGTAAAGGATTTCTGTCATTTCCCTCCATTCTCTGGCTTGACCATGATTGTGATATAAGTAATACTGTGACCACAGAAATGATGTGTAAATAATTTCATTTCTTCATGATGCTATTCTATTTTTGAGGAAGTGTGGAGTGTAAATTTCTCATGATCGTCATAGCATAATTCTTGTTAAAGAACAGAATCATAGTAAGCTGCATAACATTTACAAATAGAGTATAAATGTCTAATGTGTCAGTCTCATGCATCTCACTGTGCACATATTCTGGGTGTTTTAGGACTCATTGACCTTTGAGGATGTGGCTGTGAATTTCACCTGGGAGGAGTGGCTTTTACTGGATTCCTCACAGAAGACACTCTACAGAGATGTGATGTTGGAAAACATTAGGAATCTGGCATCAGTAGGTAAGAATGACAAAATTCCCTTCGTTGATCTCTTAGAGAGTTGTTTCTTACCTGTCTATACTGTTCAAAGATGTGGAGTGTGGAAAGATAATACATTGGTAAAGAAATTATGAGGAAATAAAGGGCAGTTCTCCTGCAGTCCAAAAGTTAGGACTTGACTCTTTCACCTCTCTGGCCTGGGTTCAATCCCTGGTTCAGGAAGTAATATCCCACAAGCTGCACAACATGGCAGGAAAAAAGAAAGAAAGAAATAGAAAGTCAGCAGGGTCAGAATTCATCATGGACCTAAAATCCAATGAATTTTTCTTTAATTTCTAGTACTTCAGATCATATTTTTTCTGGTTCTGCATTTCAGTGGCAAAACAGCCAGATCATGACATTGATGAACAGGAGAAAAACCATGGGAAAAAATTAAGGTGAGCCATATTCATGATACACAGCATGTCTCATGTCCAAATCTTGGTGTATAATGAAAATTTTATAGGAATCAAAGAAAAGAAATATCTTCATCTTCAAATTTATTTATTGAAAATGTCTCTCCAAAATATTTTCTTAAATATGGAAGAAATGTTCCATGTTTCCAATGTAATTTGTTTACAGTTCATATTTATAAACTCTATATTTGAATATTAGTTTTTTTAAAAAATAATTTTATTTATTTATGTATTTCTTGTAGAGTTTGGGCTTCTGTACTTTTGGTCTCAGGCTGTAGAGTTTAGGCTCAGTAGTTGTGGTACAAGAGCCTAGTTTCTCCACGGCATATGGGATCTTCCAAGACCTGGAATTGACCCCCATGTCTCCAGCATTGCCAGGTGGATTCTTTACCACTAAGCCACTAGGAAAGCCCTCAATATTACTTTTTAACAGAAAGGTTGAAATTCTATTGGAAAGCATTCTGTATATTCAACTTGTTACAATTCCCACAAGATAGAAAACCTCACTATTCCTATAAACCATAATAAATACAATAATGTATTATAATAAATGTATTTAGAATGTTGTTCTTATGATTTACAGAAGTCCAATGATAGAGAAGCTCTGTGTAAGTAAAGACATTAGTTCCTTTGGAGAAAACTTCAATCCTATTACAACTCTCAAAATGAGGGAAAAAACTCCTGATTTAAAACCATGGGAATGCAGTGCATATGAAAATACCTTCATGAGTGGTTCATCCCTCACTAGATACATGAAATGTCATATTGAAGACAAACCAAGAGATCATCGAAAATACCCTCAGAAGGTATGTAAATGCAAAGAATGTGGGAAGGCATTCTTTTCTCCGAGTGCTCTCATAACACATGAAAGGAGTCACACTGGAGAGAAACCCTATGAATGTTTACAATGTGGAAAAGTTTTTTTATATCAAAACTCTTTGCAACAACACAAAAGAACTCACACAGGGGAGAAACCCTATGAATGTAAGGAATGTGGGAAAGCCTTCTTGTGGAGAATAACTTACTGGAAACACATGTTAACACACACTTATAAATGTCAGAAGTGTGAGAGAGCATTCCTTACTCCCAGTTGGCTTAGAAATCATGAAAGGAAACACAATAGAGAGAAACCCTATCAATGTAAGCACTGTGGAAAAGTCTTTAAAAGTCCTGCGAGTGTTCCAGTACATGAAAGAATTCACACAGGAGAGAAACCCTATGAATGTAACCAGTGTGGGAAAAACTTCAATACTTTGAGTTCCTTAAAAGCACACAAAATAGTTCACACAGGAGAGACACAATATGTGTGTAAAATATGTTCTAAAGTATCAACTTGTGCCAGCACCCTTCAAAAACATGAGGCGATCCACAGTGGAGAAAAACCATATGAGTGCATACAATGTGGGAAAGCCTACAGATTTAAGAATAGCCTCCAGAAACACATGATAAGACACACTAGAGATAGCCCTTATAAATGTAAGGAATGTGAGAAAGCATTCATTCATTTCAGTTCTCTTAAAATACATGAAAGGAGTCACACTGGAGAGAAACCCTATAAATGTTTACAATGTGGAAAAGTTTTTCAATATCAAAACTCCTTCCAAGAACACAAAAGAACCCACACTGGAGAGAAACCTTATGAATGTAAAGAATGTGGGAAAGCCTTCATGTGGAAAGTGACTTTTCAAAGACACATGGTAACACACACTGGTGATGTACCTTTCAAATGTCAGAAATGTGAGAAAGGATTTATTTTTTGCTCTGAACTTCGAAAGCATGAATGGAGTCACAATGTAGAAAAACCGTATCAATGTAAACAATGTGGAAAAGCCTTTAAAAGTCCTGAAAGTATTGAAAAACATGAAAGAATTCACAGGGCAGAGAAGCCCTATGAATGTAAGCAGTGTGGTAAAACCTTCCATTATTTGAAGTCCTTAGAGACACACAAAAGACATCACAGAGGAGAGAAAACATATGCATGTAAAACATGTTCTAAAGAATTCTCTTGGTCCAGCTCTCTTCAAAGGCATGAAAAAATCCATAGTGGAGAAAAACACTATGAGTGTATGGAATATGGGGAAGCCTACAGATGTGAGGAAAGCCTCCAGAAACACAAAATAACACATACTGGAGATGGTCCTTATAAATGTAAGGAATGTGAGAGAGCATTCATTAATGCCAGTTCTCTTAAAATGCATCAGAGAAGTCACATTGGAGAGAAACCATATCAATGTCATCAATGTGGTAAAAGTTATAGATATCAATCATGTATAAGTAAACATTTAAGAACCCATACTTTAGAGACATCCAGTGATTGAAAAATACTCAGGAAAACCTTCACTTCCTCTTATGTGCTGGTGTATGAAAACATTCACACTGGACAAGAATCCTATAAAATATGAAAAATGTGGAAAAGACTTTTTGTTTCCCTGTAAGAATAAACACCTTCCTTCTGTCAGGAAGCCTTTGGGTACTTTTTGTTACTTGTACCTCAATATAATCCCCCAATATGTTTTTTATTGTATTTTATTTTATATGATTAAAAGGGTTTTTGTGTGTGTGTGTGTGAAACAGTTTTTGTAGTTTCAGATATTTTACCGAGTCTTTTGGAAGCTTTTCTTACCTAAGAAACTAGGTTTTCGTTTCTGGAAAGAATAAAGTTCCCATTTTACTTACGATAGTCTTTAAAACCTTACAGTTTTTTTCAGTTAATCATTACACAATAACAGTTACTTTTATCCTGTGCATAAAAGGTTAGCTACTTCATCCTCAGGCCATTTTCTTAGATTTAGTTACAGTTTTGTGTCAAAAGTAAATTTTTTTCCTTTGCTTTTTTTTTCATGTATTTTTATTAGTTGGAGGCTAATTATAATATTTTAGTGAGTTTTGCCATACATTGACATGAATCAGCCATGGATTTACATATGTTCCCCATCCTGAACCCCCTTCCCACCTCCCTCCCCATCCCATCCCTCTGGGTCATCCCAGTGCACCAGCCCCGAGCACTTGTCTCATGCATCCAACCTAGACTGGTGATCTGTTTCACACTTGATAATATACATGTTTCAGTGCTGTTCTCTCAGATCATCTCACCCTCGCCTTCTCCCATAGAGTCCAAAAGTCTGTTCTATATATCTGTGTCTCTTTTTCTGTCTTGCATATAGGGTTATCATTACCATCTTTCTAAATTTCATATATATGCATTAGTATCAAAAGTAATTTCTAATTTTTTTTATAATTTCTAATTTTTAACTGTAGAAGTTAAATCATAGGATGTTTCAATACCTTTGTGCCAATGACCCTTAAGATCACAACTCTACTGGAGTCAATTACTGTGATGAAATAAATTCTATTAAGAATGAATACAGATAAACAAGATCCTAATGTATAGCACAGAAAACTGTACTTAACATCCTGTAATAAAGTAGAAATATATGAAATGAGATATATTTGTATATATATATTTGTGTATATATATATGTATAAAAGATCACTTTGCTGTAGCAGAAATTGACATAATATTGCAAATCAACTCTACTTCAATAAAAATTAAGGAGAAATGAATGTTACAAGCCCATAAGACAGTGGTATGTAACAATAAAAGGGCACTCAAAGGTCTTCTAGAAGTTGCACTTGTGTTAGAGGATTGGATTGCTACGCAAGGGAGCAAGGTGCTTTTCTTTATTGAATGCTTTCAGATGTTTACTTTATCACTGATGACTGGAATCATTTTCTTCAAGGCAAAAATTTTCTCATGCAGTTAAACTTAATTAGTAAGAAGTTTCATTCAATCACATTAGTAAGGCAAGGGAACTATTGGTTATTTTTATGATTTCATTTTTTTAAATCACTGAGTTGGGGTTGTAAAATACATAAATTCAGTTCTTCTGTATTCTAGGTAATATTTTTTAAATCTCTCTTATGACATAATCAAGGCCTATAAATTTATGTAAATTGTGAGACAATAAAAGATGGCTTGAGAGAAAGATAGGACCATTCTGCCAGTGAACCTTTTCTGAAAGACTTTACAGTTTTCAAAAAATTAATTTTATTGAAGTATAGATGATTTACCATGTTGTATTAACTTATGCTGTATAACAAAGTGATTCCATTGTATATGACATTGTTTTTATATTTTATTCTATTAGAGTTTTTCACAAGATATTGATCCTATACTATACTGTAGGACCTTGATGTTGATCTGTTCAATGTATAATAGTTTAATTAGGTCAGTTTGAAACTTCCAGTTCATCCCTCCTCCCATCATCTCTCCCCTGTGGCAACAAGAAGTCTATTCTCGATGTCTGTGAGTTTGTTTCTGTTTTTTAGACAAATTCATTTGTGACATATTTTAGATTCTACATATAACTGATATCAGCTGTCTGTCTTTCTGGTATCAGAAAGGGAGGGAGAACAGTTTCCAGGTGAATCCCAATTTATGGAAAGATTTAGTGTGTTACTTCTACTAGAAAAAAATCAGGAATCAGTTTCCTTAGGGCCACTGTAGTTATTTGTATGTCAGAGTTCACTAGGGTTTGAAGCAAAACCTGACCAAAAATTTCCTTCCAGTATGAAATGTATATAAGAGTGTTTAATGAATTATCTCACAGTGTGTTTGAGAAGAACCCTTGCATCCATCTGGGCTACAGGGTTCAAACTTCTAACCAGGGCAAAGTGTTTTAAAATTCTTTACCTTAAGTACCAAATCAGTGGGGATTGGAAAGGCTCAATGCTGGGAAAGATAAAAGATTGAAATGGATTTATACTGGGATATCCCTGGTGGTCCAGTGTTTAAGAATGCACACTTCCAAATCAGGGGGCACAGTTCTTTTCCTGGTTGGGGGAGATCTGCATGCTGCATGGCAATGCAAAAAAAAAAAAATAAAGTATGATTTATTATTAAATCATTACCCAAGTGTGCCTTGGGGTGGGATGTGGGAGGAGGTTCAAGAGCAAGGGGACATACGTAAACCTATTACTGATTCATGTTGATGTATGGCAGAAACCCACACAACATTGTGATGCAGTTTTCCTCCAATTAAAAAAAAATTCTTTTTAATTAGGATTCAGACTGCGTTACAGATGATGGAGAGGTCTCAGTATGGTGTTGGTGTGCCAATATCTGAGGAATGTATGTGTTTGAATTTGTTCTTAAATCACATACAGGTGAATTACAATGGAACCAGAAAGGGAATAGATTCTAGAAAATCTATGTCAAATATTACTCACCGGCAGGATATCTCCAACTCTAGATTTATTTTTGGATTATCACAAGTCTCATAGTCTGTTGAACAGATACCAGTCAGAAGGAAAGACAAATCATCTACCAAACTGCTTGGACTTCCCTGGTGGTCCTGTGGCTAAGACTCTGCTCCCAGTGCAGAGGGCCCTTATTCCATCCTTGGTCAGGGAATTGGCTCCCACATGCTGACACTGAGAGTTTACATGCTGCAACAAAGATCTCAAGTGCTGCAGCCACATAAACAGAAATCAACATTTAGATAAAATATCAAACTCATTTTTTTCAATGGCCCATTACTTGTGAATGAACAGACCATTTCATTATAAACATTTACCTCTAGTTGCATTGTAGAGGTAACACTGAAATTCACCCATGGATTCCACAGGCTTCAAATGGGAAGAGAAAAAACTCAATTATCTGATTAAAGGAAAAATCTCTACCTTTAAACGATACATATTTGTGTTGAAAGATAATTTACAAAATTAACATATTAGTATTCATTTCTAAAATTTGTGGAAATCCACCTTTTAAGGATACGCTTGAAGAAAGATGCTTAGTAAACACAACATAATTATAAACTTTAAAACAACTCTTTTAAGATTTCTGAAACATGAAGCATTGATTACTTTTCATCAAATTATCTCATGTTGGGACTTCTCTGATCGTCCAGTGTCAAAGATTCCATACTTCCAGTGCAGGGGATCCAAGTTCCATCCTTGTTCCAGGAACTTCATCTGGCATGCCACAACTAATGAAAGGTTGTTGCTGAACCATGAAAGACGCTGGGATTCTTGGCCTCTGGAGGAGAAGAATTCAATCCGGGACCAGAGACGAGGCTCGATCACTCAGACCTTTTGTGTAATAGAGTAAAAGTATAAAAGAGACAGAGAAAGTTTATGACATAGATGTCAGAAGGGGACAGAAAGAGTGCCCCCTCGCTAGTGTTAGCAATGGAGTTATATACTTTTTAATTACTTATTACAGTGAATCAAAAGAATGTCTGGAGGTTGCAAAGACCTTACTAGACCCACTCCCATAATTTACATCTTAAGATAACAGGATTAGCCAGGTTTTTGCCAAAAACTGTCCTCATGCAGGATACATTATTATTATATAATCCTAAGGAATGTAGAGGGGAAAAAAATTTGTCCTTTCCTCCTCCTTGAAAATTCCAGACCCCTCTCCCCTTGGGGATCCCCAGACTTCTTATCAACCTGTCTAGGAATTGACTCTCTCACTAAGAGTTCTCATTCCACAACTAAAACATCCAGCATCCCTTAAGAAAGATTGAAAATCCTCTGTACTACAAGTAAGACCTGACTCAGTCATATAAATAAATTATTTTAACTTATAAAATAAATTATTTTAAAATTGTTTAAAGTCTTTTATTGTAATATTTATTTTATTTGGCTGTGTCTGGTCTTAGTTGTGGTATATTTCCTTGCAGCATGGCAGGAACTTTCATTGCACCGCATAGACTTAATGTCTAGTTGTGGTGTGAAGGCATAGGTCCATCATGAGCTTGTGGGATCATAATTCTCTGACCAAGAATCAAAGTCCTGTCTCCTGCATTGAAAAGTGGATTCTTAACCGTGGCCCAACAGGGAAGTCCATAACATGGACTTCCCTGTTTATATATAGGGAAGTCCATAAATATATGTATATTTTTTAATTGTCATGATGACTCATGTATATACAAATATCCTGAAATGTATAAAATGTACACTTAATGGGTGCCTTCTAACAATATGTGTAATACATCTAAATAAAGCTTTTCAAATAAACCAGCAGATAAAGTGTTTTTTCACAATGGAAAATAGTTTTGCAATGCAGTCTCTTGGGAACCTAAGACTTGCCTGTACACAATACATCAATTTCTTCACTTAGTTGCCTTCAGTTTTGTGTGGTGTGGTCAGAATGCTGAAGATCCACTGTCTTAGGACATTTCAATAGTACAATACAGTACAAGTGTATCAGACCATCACTTTGTAATCTTTAAGTGCAATTTTATTAGTCATTTAGTTATACCTCAATAACACTGTGGCCATGGGGTGGCAGGAGTTTCCAGGTGCATTCCTATTTTACCTATAATTTATAATTTTTTTCATTTATCAGTAGAAATAGGAGTACAATTGCCTTATATATATTATAGCTGTTGACATTGCAAAGTTTTCTAGGCACACAGGGAGCACTGATCTAAAATTTCCCACATGTCAGGCTCCCAGTGCCAGAGCATCAGGTCACTCTGAATTCCTGCCATTGCCACCATTCAGCAGCAACTACATATAAAACATGAAATTAGAGCACTCCTTAACACCATACACAAAAATAAACTCAAAATGGACTAGAGACTTTCAAGTAAGGCTGGGCACTATACAACTCTGAGGAAAACACAGACAGGACCCTCTTTTACATAAATTACAGCAATCTATTCTTCAGGCCACCACCTAGAGTAATGAAAATAAAACACAAATAAACAAATGGGATCTAATTAATCTTACAAGATTTTGTGCACAGTACTCTTGTCTGGAGAATCCTATGGATAGAGGAGTCTTTTGGGCTACAGTCCATAGGGTCACAAAGACTTGTACATGACTGAAGCAACTTAGCACACATTCATATGACAGAAGGTAAAAGTTTAGACTTTGTCTCCTTTTGTGTACAGTAACTTCCATTTTATGTGTTTTGTGTTTCCTTTTTAAAATAATTGAGCCAAAAAGTGTGCTATGATCATATTTTCTTTCTTGAAGAAAAAAGTTGGTTTGTTGCACCTGGAGCACATTTCCCCCCCCACCCCCCATTCTTGTTTTCCCAGTTTTTCTTGACTTGCAGACTTAAGTTCCAACCCCTCTGTAAAATGCCACTTAGTAAGACTGTACAGTTTAAAAAAAAGTTTTTGCACAGCAGAGGAAAACAAGACCATCCTCAGAATAGGACAAAATATTGGCAGTTGAAGCAACCAATATGGGAATTAATCTCCAAAATTTAGAAAAGAGCTCATGCAGCTGAATATAAAAAAACAAAACCAAAAAAAGGACGATCTAAATAGACATTTCTGCAAAGAAGACATACAGATAGCCAAAAGTGCATGAAAGGTTGCTCAACATTACTAATTGTTAAAGAAATACAAATCAAAACTACAAGGAGGTGTCACTTCACACTGCTTAGAATGGCCATCATCAAAAGTTCTACAAATGGCTTCCCTGGTGACTCAGTGGTAAAAAATCTGCCTGCTAATGCAGGAGACATGGGTTCAGTCCCTGATCTGGGAAGATTCCACATGCTGTGGAGTAACTAAGCCCATGCACCACAAGTATTGAGCATGTGTTCTAGAACTGGACACAGAGCAGATGAGCCCACACACCATAGAGTGCTTGCTCTGAAACAAGAGATGCCACTGCAATGAGAAGTCCTCCCACCTCAACTAGAGGGTAGCCCCCACTGGCAGCAACTGGAGAAAGTCAGTGCAGTAACAAAAACCCAACACAACCAAAAATAAAAATATTATATATATGTGTGTATGTATATGTATAAAGATCTACAAAAAATAAATGCTAGAGAGGGTGTCGAAAAAAGGGAACTCTCCTACACTGTTGGTTAGAATGTAAGTTGTTACAGCCACTATGGGGTACAGTATGGAAGGTCCTTAAAAAACTAGAGCTATCATAAGAGCCAGCAATCCCACTCCTAGGCATATACCTGGAGAAAACCATAATTCAAAAACATACATTCATCCCAATATTAATCGCAGCAGTATTTACAAAATCCAGGACATGGAAGGAGACATAGCTGAAAAACAAAAAGACATTGAAACAACCCAAGTGTCCATCAAAAGAAGAGTGGATAAAGGAGATATGCTACATATATACAAAGAAATGTTGGCCATAAAAAAGAACAAAATAATTTTCTGCCATTTGAAGTCCCATGGATGGACTATGAGATTGTCCTGCTGAATGGAATGGGTCAGACAAAAGGATGGATGTCATATGTCATCAAGTATATGTGGGGTCTAGAAAGGGGGACAAATGAACTTGTTTGCAGGAAAGAGATAGTCTTTTCTACAGAGAGCAAACATATGGTTACCAGATGGTAAGGAAGGAGAGAGAAATTAGGAGATTGGGATGAAATGTACACACTACTGTAGTTAGAATACATAACTGATGGGGACCTCTTGTGTACCTGAGAACTCTGCTCTGTACTCTGTGATGGCCTATATGGGAACAGAATTTAAGTAAAGAGTGTATATGTGTGGTTGATAAACTTGCTGTACATTTGAGGCTAGCACAGCATTGTAGATCAGTTACACTCCACTAATAATTATAAATTAGTAAATTAATTACATTTCCTTCCAGTGTAAAATGTACACCTAAGAAGTTAATGAACACACCTCACAGCCTGTAGGTTTGCTGATATTTGTCTTCGCAGGCAACTTGTTTTAGTCACAAAGTCCTGTCCAACTCTTTGTGACCCCATGGACTGTGTAGCCCACCTGGCTCCACCTGCTCCTCTGTGGGATTTCCCAGACAAGAACAGTGGAGTGCGTTGCCATTTCCTTCTCCAGGGAATCTTCCCAGATATTGAACCTGGGTCTTTTTCACAGGCGGATTCGTTACCACTGAGCCACCTGGAAAGCCCTCACACCCAGCTAGGCCCATTGATTCAGACCTCCTACCAGAGCAAAGTGCTCTGGGATTCTTTCACTTAGGTTCCAAAAGACTGGTGATAGGGCAGATATGGTTGGAAGCTGTAGCTATGTCAAGGATCAAAGATGAAAGTGGAGCGAGCCCTTGGTTAATTCTCATTTAAGTGTCTGCATTTCTTAACGAGAAGCATGGCTCTATGTGCAGCCACAGAGCCTTGCACCAAACCCTTGACCCCTGGGGGACATCAGACCATCTTACTGGCAGGTGTGGCCCTGGCCATCCTCATATCTCTACTTGCACCATCTTGAAGTGAAACAGGAATTCCGATGCAGGAGAAGATGCCGAGGACAGCAGAGGCAATCCCAGGGCAGGAAAAGGTTCTATTTGAAACCAAAACCATGCTTGAATAGGTCACATCCCACCTTGGAAAAGACCCTGATTCTGGGAAGGACTGAGGCAAATGGAGAAGGGCCCGGCGAGGATGAGATGGTTAGATAGCTTCAACTCATTGGACATTAAGCAAACTGTGAGATATCTGTGAGTATAGAGGTTTGAGCTGTTCTGGTGTCTGTTGTGTCTCAGAGTCCCGCGGTCTTAACAATACCTTCCATATGTCCTCACTCAGGCATGAGGGGCGGGGCATTACAATCTGTCCAATCAAGAGGCCATTGAGTCAGGTGGGCGGGGTGATGCTTCCTGGGTGGGGACTTCTGTCTCTGTGCAGAGACTACTGTGTCCTGAGCCATTCACTCGCCTGGTCTCTGTCATGTACCTTTTGTTGCCCTTTAATCTGCACTGCTCGCTGGAGTTGCTGGGATGGATTCAGACCTAGGAAATCTTGGAATGGTTAGTGTGGTCCCCCTGGGCTAAGGATTTTGCAGAGGGACTGGTTGCCACTGCCTGAAACTGGTCGTTTTTTGACTCAGCACCTCGCGGTCAGTAACATATCTGGGGATACCCAGAGTCTGGATTCTTCTGGGTCCTCAGTACCCCCGGGGTCTCAGCGGAAAGGTTGGCCCCGCGACTCACCTCCTGCAGCCCTTCTTCTCCCTCCGATTGTGTGGTGACATTGTGCGCGGTCTTAGGATGACTACGGGGACTTTTCTCCAGGGTCTGGACGTGGGATTAGCTGTTGTCTGACTGGTCCCAGCACCTCCTTTTTGTCCAGGAGGCACCCGTTTTCCTCTGAGTTTTTTAATGCTTCAGATGCAGAATCTCAACTCAAAGACTTTAGCTCAACAGAGTGTCTCTTTGTAGGGCTGGCAATGAATTATTAAATTTCCAGATCACGCCCCTCATTTCCAAATTCAATTTTGCCTCTGCTATTCAAATGTATTGATATAAACTATTCTTCTCCGTGGTACATTTCATACTAAAAGGGGAAACAGACCTAGTTCGCAGAGCTGAAAACTGAACTTTGTAAACTGGCAAACATTCACACAGGCAAAGCTTATTTTAGAGGGTAGAGCTACAAAGCTCTCAGCATAGAAACTGAGACGGGTGCATGAGCCCCCAAAGGCAAGAATAGCAACAGTTTATATCTCTACCATTGAACAATTGATCTGTTCATTTTTGGCTGGCTTGGGGCACCTGATGTATGTAATTTTTGACCAATCAGTTTAAAAAGCTACAATGTCCAGTTTGTCATTTTTATGACTTTTTGATTCCCCAGTCCTTGGGTTTGTTTTTTTTCAGGCTTTCAGTTGGCAGCCTGCGACTCTTTCTCATGACCTCCCGGCTATTGTTTAAGAACCAGATGTATATTTAAAACTTAATGATCCAGCTGGTATATTTTTCCTTGATAATCTGTATGGCAATTACTGATTGTCTTATCATGGGTCTGGATGTTTTATGGCCCTTCAGACCAGGAAGGCATTCCTCTGAATGCCTGAAAACTGTAACAACAAGTATAGCTATATAGATTATATATATATATATATAGCAAGATGCTTATGTGAAATTAAAGTTGGACTTAAAAACTAAAATTGAAAAAAATAACCGAGGCCTCAAGCCTTACACTGACTGCCTAACAACTTTTGCCTTAATACAAGTTCAATATTTTAATTTTTTATCCTATTTGTACAGTGGTGCATGGCATTTTTGTGAGGGCAAATGGTGGGTGGTTGGGGGAGCCTGTGCATATTTCACCTGAGGGGAAGCCTGCAATAACCACGTGGAAGTAGGTGTATGAAAGCCTTTCTCCTTCCAACTTTTTACTGGAACAGATACACCATAGTAAGTTCTTTCCTAGATATTGTTTGCTTGTTTTTTAAACTTTTCTTCACAATCAACCCTGCCCATCCCTGGTTAGTCCCCTTGAAAAGATTTACTTATTTATTTAAGTTTCTTTTTTCAATGTATAAAACATGTTGAATTAATAAAGAATGAAAAATGATATAAAGTAGTTCCAAAGTGGTAGTGTAACAGGGAAGAGTCAACTTGGACTCTCCCAAGCTAGATCTATTTCTTTAGCCACTTTTGTTATTATAATCACACATAATGGCCTGCCTCATAATCCTGTCCCTCTGCCTACCTGTTAAGCTAAAGTGCCTTTGTTCAGAGCCCTGTCCACCTGTAGATGGCAGGAAGGAAGAAATTAAACACATCCCCCTGCCTGAGGCTTGCCATTCTAGGAGATATATGCAAGATTAAATAGACTTTTGTTTCCTCACCTCACCCGATCTCTGATCCATAAAAGAACCTGGCATCCAGACCCTGACAAGATGGTTATTTTGAGGCAATAGTCTGCCATCTCCTGGGTCACCTGGCTTTCTGAATTAAAATAGTATTCCTTGCCTCAACCCTTCCTCTCCCCAGTTAATTAGCCTCAGTAAGAGAGGTGAATTTCAGAGGGAAGAAATTGCATTGTTACATTCCATTTATTTAGAATTTTTGTTTTACCTTTTTCATTTCCTGAGTGAATATGGTGAGTTCTTTTGTATCACCTTTTGTTTTATTTGATGTCAAATGATATTCCAGGATTTAGACTTGCAGACAAAAAAGTATTCAAGTATGATTCATTGTGTAATAAACTTGCCTTGAAAATAATGATTGACGTATTTTTTTCTGAAAGGAATAGATGTTAGGGGTTTTCTGGGTGAACTATTAGAAGTGGCTTATAATTTTCTTCTCTCACTTCCACATAAACACATAATTCATAATTCTCATTCCACATAAACATAATTTTCATAAATTGCCCCCTTGCAGCTTGTGAGGGGAAGTACTTGAAGGCCCTTATATATTTGGAATCATAGAGTTTATAGCTTTGTCAGATTGGCCTCTTTCAGATAGCAATACACTTCTATGCTTTCTGTCATGTGTTTTCATAGCTGGAGATTTCATTTCTTTAATTAGGGAACAGTTTTTTTTTTATCTTATGGATGTACCAGTGATTATTTGACTCTTTCAGGATATGCTGCTTATCTATTAACTCATGCCAGGTGTGAATTAAGCCCATACAGGTATTTCTGTGTAAGTTTTGTGTGAATACAAGAGTTGACCTCTTTTGGACAGATAACAAGGAGTGGTATTGCTGGGTCTTAAAATATGTAGTAAGAGTATATTTTGTTTTCAATGAAAGCTCCTGTCTTCCTTCTTAAAGGTACCAAATTCCATTACCCTAGCACTGAGTCTGCCTGCCAATGTGGGACATTCAGATTTGGTACCTGGTCCAGGAAGAGAACCTAGAGAAGGAAATGGCAACTGACTCCAGTATTCTTGCCTGGAGGACCCCATGGAGCCTGGCATGCTAGAGTCCATGAGGTCACACACAGTCAGATATGACTTAGTGAGTGAACAACAAGAACAACAGCAGTGAATGAGATTATCTTCACATCTATTTGGTGTTCTGAATGTTTTCCTTTTTACTTATGAAATGTGTGTAGACGAAATGTATAGACAAAAATGCTTGAAAAAAATATCATTTTAAGAACATTGATTTTGGTGTGAAAAGTCTTTCACCTTCTTCATTATTATCCACCATCTGCAGCACATTCTGGAGAAGGCAATGGCAACCCACTCCAGTACTCTTGCCTGGAAAATCCCATGGGTGGAGGAGCCTTGTAGGCTGCAGTCCATGGGGTCGCTAGGAGTCAGACACAACTGAGTGACTTCACTTTCACTTTTCACTTTCATTCATTGGAGAAGGAACTGGCAACCCACTCCAGTGTTCTTGCCTGGAGAATCCCGTGGACAGGGGAGCCTGGTGGGCTGCCATCTATGGGGTTGCACAGCATCGGACACAACTGAAATGACCTAGCAACAGCAGCAGCAGCAGCACATTCTAAGATAGAGGGTAAAGTCTGCATGAATTTTTAATGAATGAGTCTTCTGAGGAGAACTGGAAGCTTTTCTTCCTATTCCTATCACCAAACTTGGGCATCCAGGAGGCCTGTAGAAATCAAATTTTTACTAAAGTCCACCTGGCCACACAGTCCTAAAGTCCTCCAGGCCTTCAGAAGTAATCTAATGTTCCTGACTAAATGTAAATCTTCTTGTGGGGAAGCCCTGCTTTTAAGTTGTCTAATAAAGATCACAGCCTATGTGCTTCCTTTTCTTCTCTCTCTATAATTTCATGCAGCTGGGAAGTTATTTAAACTTAGAGCTCAGACCTGAGGAAAAAGCAATAACAACTGAGACCACAAAAGCCCTCTACTCGTGTGTCTCAGAGCTTCTACCAGCCAAACTAAAGAGCCCACACTGAGATAATAGCCAGAATAGCTCTTTCTGGTCAAGCCCTGTCCCCTTGGGAAAGGATAATAAGAGCTACAGATAGCAAGCATATTCACTGAAGTTCATATGCACTGATGGTGAATTTGCCCATTTAAAGCTTTCATCAGTGGATTCCTCTAAAACAACATAAAGTCTCCATTCTGCAATTGCAGGACCTAGTGTTTCCTGAGTAGACACCCTAGCTGCTGCCTGGCCGACTTCCAGTCTGGAGTTTATGGCATTCGAAGCTGTGATTCCCAATCTCATGAGAAAATTTGAAGTAAAGTCTTCATGAGAATCTCATGAAAAAATTTGAAGTAAAGTCTTCCTAGAACAATGAGACAGGTGACTTCAAAGGGTAACTGGTGTCTCCAAAACTGGGAAAGAGAAAATAAAGAGGGTTCTCAAATATGGCACAAATATTGTTTTTAAGGCCTATGCTGGGGGAAAAAAAAAAAGTTGTTTTGCATTACACATGCAAAAATGAAAGAAAAAATCCATAAACCTCAGAATAACCTTCTTTAACACAAGATTTAAAATACACATAATGATAGTAAGTGAAGGAAAAGAAAGACAGAAACAGAAGGTGTAACTACCAATCACTGAGATTTTCCAAAAATTACGACAGACAACAACGGTAGCCCCATGAAGCTCAGTGAACTTTAAATATGAAAACACCTGAAATGGAGACCAAAGTATATCATATTCAAAGCAAAGAAAAATCAAAGGCAAAAGAATATATTTTAAGAATCTAGAGTAGGTGGGGTGGGAAACATCCCTGGTGGTCCATGGTTAAGACTCTACCCGCCGATGCAGGGGACACAGCTTTGATCCCTGGTCCAGGAGGATCCCACGTGCCTCAGGGCAACTAAGCCCTTGCATCCTTAGAGCTCATGCTTTGCAACANTTCTAGATCTTTGAGTTGCACATCAAATCTGGGGCTGATCACTCCACACTTATTTAGCCTGCCTGTGAGGTTCACAACAATTTTCCCAGCCCTGTGACCATCAATGATTTCAAATCCGCCAATGTAACCATGCTTCATCATCACTGTTAGAAACCTGACGATGACTTTGGAGCATGGCCGAATACGGACCTGGTGTTTACCTCTCTTTTCAGTGTTGTTGATACTTTTGAGAGCATCAGCCAGGACGTTCATGCGCACCATTCTGGCGGCACAGAAAGATGGCGGAAAGAGGACGGGAGGGGCGAGCGCATGGAATTATGGGTTCAGTCAACCTGCTTTGAAAGAAATGTTCAAAATTCATAAAAAGAATACAAATGATGAAAGCAGATTAGAAGACAATTTTTTTATGATTGTTCTATAATTGATTTATTTTTTATTTTTTAATTTTTT